AAAGCTTATGAAAGCTCTAAATTAGTAAGTTTACACCACCTTCTCATATGACTTGTACAGTACATTTCGTTTAACAAAGTCTCTCCTACCACCCCAAATAAACGGGAAAACAATATTTTCATATTTCTTAAAGAACTCATCACCAGGATATGGTAGAGACATAAAAAGATGGGTGAACTGAGAAATTATCAAAGAGTTTATAATTGTAATTTTTCCAAATATAGTCAGACCCTTTCCGTACCATGGTTGCAGTATCTTCCTCGCCTTTTCAATGCGATTTACATAGGTCAAATTTACATAGGTCAATTGAGATAAATCAACAGGAATATGAATCCCAAGAACATCGACAGCACCATCAATCCATACTAAGGGATACGGAGTGTCAATATGAAAGTCTGTATTTTTTAAAGAACCAATGCGCAACACCTTACATTTATCATAATTAGGCGATAAACCAGAGATCTTAGAAATTTCTTCAAGGATATTGAATAAAGCAATAAACGAATCATAACTAGCTTCTATTGGAAAATTTGTGTCGTCTGCGTATTGTGACACTTTGTTTTCTATTTGTCCAATGAATAAACCTTTAATATTGACACAACTCCTCACCCGAATAGCTAGTAGTTCTTACGCTAATGACAAATAAATATGGCGATAACGGACACCCTTGCCGAACGCCGCGAAAAAATGTGAAATGTATCTGAAATATTCCCAAAATTAATAGTACGACTATAAATACTATTATATATAACCTTTACCCAAGAAATGAATGAGGAACCAAAATTGCAAAAAAAAAAAAAAAATTAGACTTCGAATTATAAACTCCCAACTTAGCTTATCAAATGCCTTTTCAAAGTCAGCTATAAATATAAGCCCAGGTTCATTTTCATGCTCATAATATTCAATAATTTCTAAAATTCTTCTGATGTTGCCGGCAATAAACCTCCCATGAATAAACCCAGTTTGGTCATGCCCGACGATATCAGAAATAACTTTTTTAACTCGAAGTGAAAGACATTTTGCTAAAATGCGGTAATTGCAGCATGGTAGAGTTAATTTCCGATATGGTTTCTGACAGGCCAGTTGTTCTGAGTGCAGAGGTTGGTATTATGAAATTACTATCTGGGTTTTTGCTACTATGTTTGCCAATGCTGATTGCTTGTAATTAGCCTGTTCAATAAAACATGGTGCATAGAAAGTTTAAGGTAAACCCAGATTCAACCCGTTTTTAGTGAAATCTGTGCATATTAATTACCTAATTTGCATAATAGCCATTTTGCAATCTTAAATATGTAGTTGGGTTTAAATATTTTGTTGAGGTATCTCTCATACTCATGCATCTCATACATACATACATTCTTTCTATGCAAATTATGTCACTCTGTCTACCATTGAAATTCTGACTTTTTCTTTCCTCCTGCAGACCCCTGATGATGACAGCAGTGTTCTGAAGAATCAGGGTGAAGTGATGGCTATTCTTGCTGTGATTGGTGGAATTGATGCACGACCTCGCTTAGGTGGTCTGGTGCGGCATAAAGAGTGGGGTCTTGGTACCATAGCTAGGATTGCTGCTAGCGGTAAACTAACTGTACAGTGTGATGGACAGAGAACTATGAAAATGTGTCGACTTAAGGCGCTTAATCCTGTAAGTATACAATGGGATGTCATGTAAATTTGTGAATTCAGCATATCACCATTCATGTATTGACTGTAATGTTACTCTCTTCTCAGGTACCCGTGATTAATTTCAGTGTTGAGAAGTTACTCATGGTGGATACAGTCCTGCATACTTGGGTGACATTAGGTAGTCTTCTGGGTTCAGGGTTCAAAGCTCCAAGAAGTTCTGACACTTCATCACTCAGTAGACCAAGCAGCTCATCATCTTTCACTGTCGGTGAGACAGGTAATGTTTCTAGGTTCTTTCATTTGGCTGTGTCTGGAATTAGGGTAGTGATTACATGATTTGACCTCAAAGTTTAAATGAGAAAGGAGACCAACCTGTTCATGTATTATTTATATACCCTACTTAATTCCAACCATTTATTTATAAACCCTACTTAATTCCAGCCATTCAAAGTACAATTATTAGCGAAATTTAAAAAAAATGTAATTCTAAACAATTTTTTTTAATTTAGCAAGCATTCCTGATAATTACAATCTGCTGTTCCAGACATACACAGCTTGTTTTATTCTCTTTCCTTTATTTTTAACAGATTTGGTAAATACTAAATTGTTACGAAAACAACAAGTACGACTTGGTGTCTTGAAAGCTGCCAGGATACTTTTCAGTAGACAAGACAACTTACGTTTGTTACTATCATTGATGGCGACTGTGCGTGTGCCTTCCTCTGATGACTCTGAACCAAGTACTACACAGATGTTGCTGTTACAACATCTTATGAATGCAGCCACCAAACCGTCTCCGATAAAACCTGTGTTTGATAGAGAAGAACTGGAGGTAAGGCATCTTGTTTTCACCGGTACTCATCATAATACTTCTTCAGAATTCAACATTATAGTTGCCTAAATGTGATTTCAAGCTGTGAGATGAAAACTGTTGAAATTTTATTCGCATTTAATTTTGAGAGAAATTTTGACATTACAGCATTTATAGTAGAAGTTGATGTGACTATACTGAAGTGTGTTATATTCGTCCAGTATTCCTGATTATTGTCAGAATGTAGTGATGGAGTTTGCAACTCTGTATGCGTGATTAATCTTAAATTGTTTGTGCTAAACTGTGAAAAAATGCATATGGCTCAATTTTTCCATATACAGCAATTATAGTTTCAAAAGGCAAACATATTCAGTGATTTTCTGCTAATGTCTCTGGTCATCCACCGTATATGTCAGTCATAAATGCATCACATCACAGCTTTTTTAGCTCCGCTGTCGACTTTGTCGAGCGGAGCTTATCATATGAGTGATTGTCCAACGTCGTCCGTTTCAGTGTTTTACTTTTTTTACTTCTTCTTGAAAACTATAAGCCTGAATGCTTTGATACTTGGTGTATATGTACCTTGGGTAGACCTCTCTCATTTTGTAATGATATCTTTAATTCTCTAGTTTTGGTGAATATTTTTGTCATTTTTGGTAAAAAGTGATATTTTCGACTTCTTGTTAAAAAACGCAAGTCCAATTGCTTTTATATTACATATATAGGTACTACCGGTACATGTGGACCTCTCTAAGATTTGTTCATTTTGTAATGATATCTTTAATTCTCTAAATTTGGTGAATTTTTTTGTAATTTTTGGTAAAAAGTGATATTTTCAATTTCTTGTTAAAAACCACAAGTCTGATTGCTTTTATATTACATATATAGGTACTGCATGTGGACCTCTTTCAGATTTGTTACTTTCGTGGTGATATCTTCAATTATCTAATTTTTATGATTATATTTGTCATTTTTGGTGAAAAGTGATATTTTTGAATTCTTGTTGAAAACAGCAAGTACCGTTGCTTTGATACTATACATATTGTTCATTTGCTAATGATATCTTCTGTTCTTTAATTGAAATGTGCATTGCTAACAGCGGAGCTATCTCAGCCAACAGGCTGCTTGTTTACAATTTTTGTCTGGAATATTGAAAACAACATGTTTTTGCCTGTTTCCATGGTAGGACATGAACGTGAAGCTAAAGTTGGTTTATAACTAGATGGGTCACTTCATTTTATTACTAGGACATATTCTGCTGTTACATTTATTATCTTCAACCGTTTTGCAATAGTATTTTCTAGAATGAAGGCAGCATTTATAGTTCATTCAAAGATGCGTTGGGATTACATTGATACAGTGTAACAATGTCGGCGCTGGTGATCTATTACCAGTGTGCAACATAGCCAAAATAAAAAGCATGATAATTTGAACACGGCTATCACAAAACTGGTTGGAGGTAATAAATTTGGGGCGAAAGTATTCAAAAATCAGTTTTTTGGATGTTGCAATGGCAGAGATGGGTCAGGATTTTTTTTCCCAAATAAGAGGGTGGGCAAGGGGGGTAGCTGATACAGTTTTACGGGAAATAAAAAGGGCTTTTCACAATTTACAAAGAAAAAAAAGACGTTTTTACAGTTTACAGTGATAAAAAAATAGAACATTGAATGGTCCGAAGAGCTCTCCGACTCAAATTCTCCGCCATTGCTGCGCCGCGTGTAGAGACGCATGCGCATATTACCCTCGTAATGCTCTTCATTCGGTTAGAGGGCCTTTTTTGTCTTGACATTCAATTTTGCAGTTAATTGTGTCATCTAGTCGTTTTACAGTTTCTGAAATGTAATTTCCTTGGATTATTCTTTACTATTTTTTTATTTGGATGTAAATTCTTGTACGTACCAAGAAAAATGACAAATTTTTAGTGTACAAAAAAAATATTTGATTGATTACGTTGTACGTCTATCCTGTGATTACAGAATTACGGAATTTATTTTTTCAATTTACATTGTACGAACAAAAAAATATTGCAATTACGTTGAACGAAAATAACCCTTGCCCTCCCCCCCCCCCCCCAAATAATGACGGCACGACCTACCTGTCAAGTATGAACAAAATCAGGCGAGCCTAAAAAATCACAGAGGAGTTAAAAGCCGTTGCTGGTGAAAAGTTTCCCCAATTTTGAGGTCAATTTTCTCATTAATGAAAATTCACATAAAAAAATAAAACAGTAAATCTTTGCCCACACTCAAGCTGAGTAGAATGAGATATGTCCGTGCTTTTTAATCCTAGAATTATAGGGTGAGAAACATTTGGCACGAAGGAAACGATTGGCCAAAATTTGTTTTCAGATTTTTCAACCTAAATAGAGTGAAAGTGCGACTTTTCTGCCAAATTTGGACCAAATCGGCTCAGCCAAAAAAATCACAAGAGAGTTAAAATGCCATTCCTGGTGAACGGTTACCCCAACTTTGGGGTTAAATTTCTCGGTAATGAAAAAAAGATATCAAAAATTCAAATATTAACATTGTGCCCACACCCAAGCTGAGTAGAATGAGCTACCGTATGTCTGAGGTGTTTTATCCTAAATTTGTAGGAGGAGATACATTTGACGCGAAGCTATCCAAAAATCAGTTTTTTGGGGGGTTGTTGCTATGGCAACCGTGATTTTTTCTTATAACTAGGTATGTATGTCTGGGTTGCAGCTTTTAGAGTACCTGTAAAACACACAAAAATAATATAAAGTAGATATTTTCTTGGAGTCGTAAGACTAAGGATGTCCAAAATGTTAAATTATTAGTTATAAAGGAAATGAATGGTTATGTACATGTAGATGTGGTAATACTGTCATGTCTTCTCACAGGCTGCGGCTTTAGCAATATGTCAGTTCTTAGCAGCGGAAGCTGTTCACCCGCAGACTGAGGAAGCTCCAAGCACCCATTCTGATACACCAACAACCACCCCTAGCAGCACATCTACTACGTCTGGTGCTGTAGCTACTGCAGAGCCAGTCAGTAGCAATGTTATCAACAATGACAGACAGAGTACTATTAAACTGACTAACAAACTAAAGAAAAGAAAGGCATCGCCGCCACCACCTTCTCCACTCATGCAGCAGTTGATGGAAATGGGGTTCCCACGAAAGAATGTGGAATTTGCAATAAAGGCACACAGTGAGTCTTCACATGTTGTCTCCTTTTAACTCTGTTTACTGTGATTGTCAACTCTTCTCACCTTTCTCAATATAATTCTGTCATTTCCAACAAAAATATTGAAAATTAATAGCTGTGATTATCCAGTGTTGTGGGACATGAGCCATGACATTTTAGTCAGGTGAACAAAGTACAAGTAATTAGTCACCGTTCGGATGTAGTCCGAAAACGGGGACTTATGTTTTGCCCTGTGTGCGTCCGTGCGTGCGTGCATCCGTGATCACCTGTATCTTGAACATGCATGGACCGAGTAAGTTCAAACTTCACTCATACATCACATATTATATGGGACATATGCACATGCATTTTTTTCATGATCCGATTAACGATAGCCAAATGGCGGCTGCTTTAAGGCCGAAAATGCATTGAAATCGCACATTTTCACCATTCCGCTCCCGGATCTCAGTTATGCATGGACGGATTTCATTCAAATTTGGTACATACATTAAACATAATAGGACCTTGATGCACGTCATTTTTTTTTTCGGATTAAGTTCGAAATGGCCGACTGGCGGCCATTTTGTTTTAAAGAATTCAGTTCTGGATCCGTATCCGAGACATGTCTGGATTGATCAAGTTCAAACTTCACACACACATGGTACATCATGTCACAAATAGATATGTGCATTTGTTTCATGATCTGCTTAACAATAGCTGAATGATGGCCATTTTAATGCCGAAAATGCATCAAAATCACGTATTTTCACAATTCCGGAACCGGATCTCAGTCATACATGGATGGATTTTGTTCAGATTTAGTACAATGTGTTGTACATATGCAGGTGCATTTCGGTCATGATCTGCTTTGAATGTATATGTCACTCAAATATGAACGGAACGGGGACATGTCATTGACAATGACTTGTTCATTTTTGTTTCTAAACACGATCAGAGCGTGAACGTTGCTGTTTTAGGAACCTAAAATACCGGTCAATATTTCTGACAATGTCTGAAGCTGATTGGCATTGAGTTTGGGCATCATTTTAATATTAAAACCATTTTAAATGTTGACGCATTTCTGCCATTACGAACCCAGCTCTGTTTTACGTAATTAGCTATTGTCTATCTTGTTACATACATTGAACATGTATATCAGTTTTGGAATGCATGTCTTTGGTGTACATTGACTGATTGCAATCAAACTTCATACATTATATCTTTTGTTTCATGTTCCGATTCAAAATGGCTGACTCCTTTCAGTTTTGTTTACCGTTACTATTGAACCAACAAGGATACTGTCATGTCTTGTTTGACTTTCTATTATGGGCAGTTCTAGTATAACTTTCTTTGTGATTTGTGTGCACGACTGTGACCTATAGCTTTTTTATCAATCTATATTACAGGCAGTTCTAGTGACACTCCATCAGCAGAGGTACTCGTTAGCTGGTTGTTAGAGCATCCTGATTTACAAGTACCTGATTTAGTATCTGACTCTGAAAGTATCTCATCATGTGACGATTACTCTGATACAGACTCTATATCAGATGAATTTGAAGACATGGAAGGGGGACAAGATCACGTAAGTTATCGCAATCTACCCATAATGCATTATTCAAAATGATATCCATCTTGCATATGTATTTGTTACATTTCCCTACTTATTTTTTACATTTGTCTTGATCATTAACTTTTTAAATCATCTTAACATGACTGTAACCATATTGCTCATGAACAGAATCACATGAACAAATAGGATTTTTGTCAATTTTGAAAAACATAGTCAGAATTCACTGTGATAAAATGAGGCAGTAGGCAATAGCTGCTGAGATTTTCATGAGAACAAGAAATCCACAAGACTTGTTTATGCCACTTTTAATATTGTTCCATTCTCTCTTGTCATTGTTATATGCCCAGCACCAACATATATCGCATGTTTTACTGCATATTAACCCATAGCATTAATTGGACATTGTAAATGACATTCTTGTATACTCTATATGTAGGGTTATTCTTCTGAAGGACAGGTGTTTAAGAAACGTGCTGATTTCTTTAATAACGATGACTATGCCATGTATGTTAGAGACAACATCCAAGTTGGTATGACTGTGAGATGTTGCCGCACATATGAAGAAGTGCATGAAGGAGACACAGGCAGAGTTGTCAAGGTAAATGAAATTTAAGCATTTGAAATTTTTTATTTACACATATCATCATTACTAGATTGCCTGGGAGAGTGTACACAAATCAATGACTTTTAATTCAGTCGTAACCATTGAAGTGTATCTCATGTTATTCTATAGTGATGCCATTGATGCTAGTGTTCTTACTAATCAAGCTCCCAAGAACTCAGTTGCATTAATTATTTTTAAGGTTTTAAGAATGCCTATTTTAACTGATACATGAACATGTATGATGGAAATTTGTGAATTTAAAACCACAGAGCAAATTCAAAATAGTGAAATGCCAGTGAAAATCAAAACTTTTATAGCACAACGTCTACTAAGGTCCTATGTAAAAAAAAAAAAAAAAAAAGGGCCAGGGGTTTTTGGACCAATTTTTTGAAATAAATATATTTCTTTATGTGGATAAAAGTAGTTCTTTGTAGGAAAAAGGTAAAACATGATCTGTTAAATTAGAAAACTGCTACTTATTCAATTTAAAGGTAATTTTTCAATTACAGTTGGACCGTGATGGCTTGCATGATCTAAACGTACAGTCAGACTGGCAGCGTAAAGGTGGCACCTACTGGGTTCGGTACATACATGTTGAACTCCTAGGACACATGATGCAGACAGCTGAAGGCAGTAACATTAAAGTTGGCGACAGAGTACGAGTCAAGCACACGGTTGCATCACCCAAATATAAATGGGGTTCCGCCACGCATCAAAGCATTGGCACAGTAACTGGTAAGTCAAGTCATTGTTGCTGCCTGGGGTTAATATTGGTGATATGAATAAAGGAAGGAACAAATCTCATCAAATTTTCTTTTGATCAGTTATTTATGCAGATGGCAGTACATGTGTAGAACAGTTCTTGTTGCAGTAACAAGCTACTGGAGTTTATAAAATGTGAAACATAATTAGGGTTTCGAGCCCTATGGGGCGAAACCCTATTGTTATTGCTTTGATTATTAGGGTTTCGAGCCCATTTGGTCGAAACCCTATTGAAATTGTTCCGTTTATTATTATTATTATTATTCTTCCGCCGTTTTTCGGTCACACTTTATGTCAACGCTGTTGGACCGATCAGTTCCATACTTGCCACAATGGTAAAGCTGTATGAGATCTGGTGCATATCCTAAGTTCAGACACATAGGTCACATGACCAGGCCGCCATCTTGGATTAAAGGCGAAATTTTCAATGCCGATTTGCGCACCTTTCTGAGGGTCTGAGTGCTCCAATTTTTTTATGATAGTAGCAGTGCGACAAGGGCTACAAATTTCATCAAAAAAAACTTTAGCGGTCACGTGACTTTTTTTTTTAGAATTTTTTTAAATTTTGTTTTGCATCTCATTTGCATAATTTTCGACAAATCAACTAACCCTGAATAACTTTGAAAGACCATATGACATAGTATTTAATTCTAAAATATGGAAGTCCAGGCGAAAAGCCGTTTTTTATAAGAAGATTTTAGAATGTTTTTTCATATTTTTTGGTTCTTTTATTGGTTCTTTTATATGGTCACGTGACCTCATTTTATAGACATAATTGCAATATCTCAAGCACTGTTACAGATAGGAACATGTAACCAGTGCAATATTGAAGTGATGGTACATGAAATTCTACTAACAAACAAGATGACCATATATGGTCATGTGATCTCATTAAATATGCATAAATATAATATATCAAGCACTGTTACAGATAGGGACATGCAACCTGTGCAATATCGAAGCTACAAGACACGAGATGTGACTAACTAATGTAATGACCATATATGGTCATGTGACTACATCAAATATACATAAATGTAATAACTC